TCTAATTGATTTTTAGAAATGCAACTGATCGGTATCTTATTAGCATATGTGTATACTGTACGGATTGCTTCGATATTGCAGGTACATCTAACTGAGGAGTCCTAAATAGGATGAAACGCTTATCAAACTAGATCCCACTGTTAGCCACTATCCATCTTATAATGAACGTCTTATTATTTACATATAGTAAATGAAAGTTCATAATAATCATAAACTGTCATAGGATATTAAGGTCAATCAATCAACGAACTATTCAAAACAGCTAATAATAATAATAATAATAATAATAGTGATAATTTATCAAATGAATATATGATTAATCTACTAAAGAAGAAAATTATAATATTTCACTTTAATATTACATCATTAAATGATAATGTTAAAATGTAAAATAAATTATACTACACTATATATACTACTGTCTATACTATATATACTACTGTCAAAATTGTAAAGTAAGATTTCAGTAAACTTATGTAATTCCAAAACAAACAACAAATCAAACTATCTCGTTATGAATGATAATAAAAATTGGAAAACATTAAGAATAAATAATAAAAAGAGAAAAAAAAAAACAAAATAACTATTTTTATGGTTTATTTATTAGAAAATCAAAAATGGATAATAATAATAATAATCAGTTGAACACAACATAAACAGTTGGTTCATTGTTCATTGACCTTAATTTTAGTGTAACTAATTACTAATTTTTATTGGTCAGAGTAAAAGTATAACCATTAAGTCACCTTTCTAGTTTCAATATCTAAATCAAATCTTCAAAACAACAACAACAACAATTAAGTTTTAGGGTTTGTCGTTATTGAAATTAAGTCTATCAGAAAAAAGGAAAAGTAGTATATATATATATATATATATATATATATCAGACGTTCTAAATTATAAACTAATTTACTGGTTGACTTTGTGGGTTGATTAAAGTAAGAACACTATGGAAAACCTGGAAGCATTGAACGGCCGATTTGTCCTAGTATGGGACTCCTCAATAGTGCGCACCTACAACACCACCCGCGGGCTTAGAGTCTAGGACCTTCGGTTTCGCCTGTGAACGCCTGAACTCTAGACCACGGAGCCAGCATCCAATGGTCTAAATTCAACAAATCCGTGGGTTCGAATCCTGCGGGCGGGATCCTAGATGCGCACTGCTGAGGAGTCCCACAATAAAACGAAACGAATGTCCAGTGCTTCGAAGTTTTTCATGGTGATCTAGCTACAATCGACTCATGATTTCAACTTACAAATTACTAAAATCTCCACAAAACCCCATTCTGAAAATAGATTTCTGTAAAGTTTACTCAACACTTAAAAAAGAGTATTATGGAGTCACAGAACTAATTGAAATAAATTATTAGAAAGGGGTTTTGTGTAGAATGTGTGTAGAATTCATGAGTCGACATAATCTAAACTACTATGGAAAACCTGGAAGCACTGGACGTCTGTTTCGTCCTAGTATGGGACTCCTGAGTAGTGCTCGTCTACAATCCTCTCGAGGGATTCGGACTAATTATCGTATCCTCTTCTTAAAATATGTTAACACAGTGATGTTTGACTTGTAGTGAAAAGCAAACGTAATGCAAAAAATACTTCGTGAATACATTTTCCCAGATGATTACCATCAATATATCACCATTAACCAATACACTACATTGCTAATAAATTTGTCTGTAACTTCACCTGTTTATATAGACTTTTTAACTGATACCCAGTCTTTCATAAATATCCTACATTTGAACCTTAAACAGTAAACCAATGCAGGTAGGTATAAAAACAAGCCTTACTTCCAAGATTAACTTAAATATAGAATATTGTTTTGTGTAGATTTATCTGTGACATTATAATGCTAGAAACTTATAGAATCTTCCCAAAGTCGCCGAATAAGTATGCCTCGCAGTATATCGTCTTCTTTTAATTCTCTGAAAAGTCTCTTTTTAACACTGATTAGATGAAGTATTTCCATGTTTTTCCGGCTTCTGAATACCTTTCTTAGGGATTCAGGACAAATCACAACACTAGCTAAAAATTTCACTCAAGCCTCCATTATTTATAGTCCAAAAAATCAAATTAGTTATTGTTCGTCATGATCTGATATTATAATATAAAAACTGTAGATTGTTTGTTGGCATCGATTCAATATCCGTAACATACATCTTCACTCAGAGACTCGAACCCAGTCCCGCGATTGCATTTGAAGCAAACAGTTCTGAGTCCAAGTGCAGGAGTGAAAAACAATTCCGGGATGCAGGTACATCCAGCTGATGAGTTTCAAAAAGAACGAAACGCGCGTACTGTATTCCACTATTTGCCACTATCCACTTTTGCCTATAATTATTGCGAATTACGATAACATCAAAGCAATCCGTACAGTATGCACATATGCCTATAAGAGACTGATCAATTGCAGTACTAAATATCACTGGGAAGATTTAAGTAAACAATACCAAGTGAATTCATTATTTTAATAATTGAATTTATTAGTCGATTTAAGCTAGACCACCATTGAAAACCTGGAAGCAATGGACCACCATTTCGTTTTAATATGGAACTCCTCATCAGTACATATCCACGATCCCGCATGTGGGACTCGAACACAAGACATTTGGTCTCGTAAATGATCCCCTAACCTTCAGACCATTCATTCGATATCCAAAATATTCGTTTATTTTTAATTTTCCAACTAAAGTAAATCAGTGTTAAAGTGTACAGAACATTGAAATTTCTCAGAAATTTCCATTATTAAAACTGCATTTTATATTTAGTGGTCGATTTTAATTTTTTTAAAAATTCACATCGAAGTTTGTACGATTATTTCATTGCATAAGAACAATCGAATTATTCTTAAAATACAAGTTTATATTACCAAGAAAAGCATTTATACTTTCTGACAATGATATCACATAAATTACACATAACCACTCATATATAAACAGATACCGTTAACAATTTTGTATCTAAGCAAATGATTCTATTTTATTGAAAGTTACAGTTAATTGACTTGGATTTTGTTAGTATGTTGTATAGAACACTAATAATAATAATAATAATAATAATAATAATAATAATAGTAGTAGTAGTAGTAGTAGTGGTAGTAGTAGTAGTAGTAGTAGTAGTAGTAGTAGTAGTAGTAGTAGTAGTAGTAGTAGTAGTAGTAGTAGTAGTAAAGTAGTAGTAAGAGTAGGAGTAGGAGAAGGAGTAGTAGTAGTAATGATAATAAGCCTAAAGTTTTCTCACAAATGCATAAACATTTTTCAACCAGAGAACTAAATTTTTTTATTCCAGATTATTTACATTCATTAGTTACTAACCTATAAGTATAAATGAAACGTTTATACAATTACTGCTATTCTAAATAAAATGAGTCAATAAGAATGATTAATTTACATGATCACTTTTATGTATAATCTATACATTAGTTCAGTCTTAATTTAGTACATTTATGTATTGTCATAGTCTTTTAATGTTTCCCTGTGCAATATCTTTATGGATCTATTTTTGGATATGAATTGTTTATTCAAATGAATTCTTGATTCCAAAACAAAGAAACAGAACGTTTTAGTGTCAACCAAAGAATGTAGAATGACAGATTCGATGTCGTTGTCATTGAAAGTCCTATAGAATAATCTCCATTTCAATATGACAGCTTATAACAATTCACATATCTATCTATCTATCTATCATCATACGTTCATTCATCTATAACTTTGAATAAGTAATTCATTGTTGATAAATTCGAAAGAACTTTATATTAACCGATAAATATACATTAGAATGAACAGTTTTAATAAAGCTGATATACCAGTTAAGTGTGTTCTTCTGTTAATGTTCCTTTAGATTGTTGATAGATATTTAATGGATAAAACATTACAATGATTGCTTGATTACGTAATAGAAAATAATATGAATGTTTCAATAGTGAACGTATTTTTTTTATCAGATGAAGTTTGTGGATATTATAGTAATTTCAGTGATTAAGATCATGAGTCAGTTGAAGCTAGACCACCATGAAAACCTGGAAGCACTGGACGGCCGTTTCGTCCTATTGTGGGACTCCTCAACACTGCGCATCCATGAACTCGCCCCCTGCGAGGTTCGAACCTAGGACCTACTGGTTTCGCGCGCGAGCACAATTTCATTTCAAATATGTCTTATGAACTTCTAAATTGATACCATCTTATAAAACATCAACAGAAATACAAGATTTTTCTAATGATAGATTGGTATTTTAGTTGTTTAGACTACCATCTCAAATCAAAGATTTTCATCTTTCTTTTAATCTTAAACTTTGTTTAATTCTGCATATATGCTTTGCTGAATTAATTCAAGTAAGTGAAGTGAGTTAACACAAATACACAAGTATATGAATCTCCCATATAAATACAGAGATTGAACGATTGAAGTATCCAACAAAACCCAAGAAATACTTCAGAAATTCTACTTATTCATAAGGTCTGTTCATAGAGCTGAAGTGTTAAAGAAAACAAACAAAGAATCCTGATGATTATATGGATGATATGAGGCCAGAACAGTCGTCCAATTCATATGTTGATGAGAACAACAAACATGTGAAATTTTCTAGACCTTCCTATTCGAAATTTACTGTCTTATTATTATCTCATAGTTTTAATTTTTAAAAAAACGTCATTTGTGACAAAAATTCCAAAAAACAATATGAAACGATGACGCACATGGAGATCATGAATACTAGAGAATTTCAGGGTTGTTTTGATCATCAAAAAGGGAAATGGGATTGTAACTTTACTGACAATTTGGAGTATTTTAATAGTGATTACAGTTATGTACTTTAAGTACATATTTATCAGACAAAGCATATATATATATATATAATTAATGCCACAAGACATTTGCAAACTGTTGAGTAACGAAGAACGTATTTGTACACATCCATCATTTCATACTACGAAAAGATAATTGTTCATTGTTCACAAAATCACTTATATCAGTAATGTGTACATTTTTATACTTACCACCAACGTCCTTTAATTTGAGGTACTTTCTCTTCTGTATTACTTTTATTCTGTTTATTGAATTTTATTGAATTAATTACTGGATTTTGTTGATTCTGCCATTTTAATTGAGTTTTATGCTTTAATTGTTTATTTTGATGATCAACATAATTTGATAAACTTTTATTATATGCACTTTGTATAATTGATGAAGGGTATATTGTAAGCGGTTGAAAAGATGATGATGATGATGATGAAGAGGTAGGCAATTTCATAAATTTTGTTCTTTTCATATCAGAATATTGATTTAGTAGACGTGATTGTTGAGCTATTTGTTGTCTGTATGGATTTAATTCTTGTTCTTTATTCCATAAATAGGAAGTTTGTAAATTATCATTGATTTCATCAATAATAATCTTATTATTATTATTATTATTGTTAGTAGTAGTAGTAATAGTAGTTGAGTTGTTGCTAGCAGTTTTACTATTCAATGGAATATTATTTTCTAATGAATAAGAATTAGAAGCAGATAATACTGATGCATCATCAAAATAAAATTTATCATGAAAATCAGAAAATTTACGTTGAAGTTTGGTTTGTATAAAAGATGGAAACATCAGAGAAGATGATGATGAAGTTAATTGTGCTACAGAAGCTGCTGGAACTGCTACCACTCCTTCCTTTGACGATGGCGACGACGACGACGACGATGATGATGATGATGATAGTATATTTGGTAAATAATGTTTTTCTGAAAGATATCTAACAGGAAACTTGAATCTATTCAAATGATCCGGCAATTTCTTTATATATTGACCATAAATATTATATGATAAAATGATTAAAAGAAATAAATTATAAAGTTTAATCATTTGCATTATATCTTTCAATTTATTTCTCATTACATAGTATCAATGTTTATACTCTTATCCATTTATTTCATGTTTTACAATGTAGCATATGAAAATCAAATGACAAATTGATGGGATTAAGTTAAACAATCATAAAGAAAGAAACAAATAGAAGAACTGTACTTATTTGAAATGATCATATAAAGTGATTATCAGTAGTAGTGGTAATAGTAGTAGTCGTAGTTCTATTAAATTATACTGAGTAATTATGTAATATCAAAGTGATAATAATATTTCAATATTTATAATGTAGATAATGTATATAAAAGTAGTTACTGTGTGATTTCCCTTCGTTTGTTTCTTTCTTTTTCTTTCTTTGAAAAGAAAGAGAATAGAAGAGTAAATCAGCTACAACTACAACAACAACAACAACAACAATGAAGAGAATTGGGTTTAGAACAAATAAACACTGTAGTACAAATAATTCATTCAATTATATGTATGTATTCAAATGAATAATTCAATTTGTATTTTTGTCATGACCATGTGTTCGTATCCATCTATCTATAGGTATCATTAATAAGATTACTGTATTGTGTATTATGATATTAATAAACATTAATAGTGATTATATTCAAAATGGTATTAAATCTCAATAGAACATGTATATATATATACACATATTAGTGCAGTATATTAGATTGAGTAATGAAGAAAAGACAGTTTCTTCACAGTTAATTTTGTTTCAGTATACCTTTTACATGAATAGGATTTCATGGTGTAGTGTTTTTTTTTTAACTTGTTTTATGCATTATGTTTATATGTACGTATGTTTGTAAGTAGTATGTATGTATGTATATATGCATGTCATTGTATGTATTGGTGAAGTGTGTAAAATTAAACATCGATAAATATAACATTTATATTCACTGGAAAGAGATATAAATTTGTATCTAATTTGATTCGGTGCAGTTTTGGGTTCTTCTTAATTTATTTTTTTTGTCTTGTATGTACAACTGTGCTATTTATGTCTGTCTATAATACTGACCCTGCAAAATTTTGTGTAAAATATTAATAATCATAATAATCACATTGGCGAGAAAGAGAGAGAGAAAGTGAGAGGGTGAGGGGATACAAGAATTTTTTTCAAATGCTAAACATACACTATGATACAGTAACCAATCCAGTAACTAGCTTGTCAATCATCAAAATGAAATGAAATCAACTGATTTTGGCCTATTGAACTATTGAACGAAAAAATGTACATATTTATCTATATACAATGTATGTAATCGAATAAAATATTAGATAGCAATTTATAACCTACATGTCAATGTGATTTCATCTTTTCCAGTACTGGATATTCATTCATTCATAAAGGCATAAGGCATACAAGTATTAGCTTATAAATGAATGATTGTTTCATTTCACCTGTCACCATTAAAAATGTAAAAAAAAAAAGAAAAATAAATAAATAATCACAACTGTCTAGTGTAATGTGTAAGCATAGATTCACTTTGTATGTGTGCGATATAACCAATGATACAATAACTAGATTCATGATTATTAAAATATTATGATTTAGTAACCATGTAGTAATTAGAACTATCACTAAGTGATTGATGAATATCTAATTCTTGATTTATTGATCATCTTTATATTAAAGAAAAAAAACTCATCCATTTTAATCTTTTTCACCTTTTCTTCTTCTTCATCATCTTTATTGTCAGATAATTTGATTTACTGATTACAGTCTTACTTGTCTAAGATTAATTACTTCTCCATGTAGCTTTTGTCTATTAGTGGTCGTCTGTAGAAGGAAAATGATTTTTTTAAATAAAGAAAGTAAAAATCTACTATCACCACTGTGAATAACATATGTCAATCAACATCAACAGTACTATTCATAAGAATTACAATGAAATATTGACAGTTTTAAGGCGAGACTATAATTTATGGACGAACCAATCAAATATAAGATAACGGGTCACGATTAATGGCGCAAAATTCATCCATACATTTGGCTAAATAGAGTTCTGGCATTATAACTGATGTCAGTTCGCGATGAAAACTTGAAGTCTAGATTTTAACCTTAACCATCAGCTGTAAATGAGAATTCTAGCTGCTTCATAAACCTCATTTAGTCCTAATCAGTTGGTGTCCATTCTCAAGGTCACGTAAGCGTCGCTCATAGGTCGTCCATAAATTATAGTCTCACCGCTTTAACTAAGAAGTAAGTTTAGAATTTGTACTGTACTTTAATATAAGCTTATAATCATTCAATAAAAAATTAAAATAATCTGATGTAATACAAGAGAAAATAATTAAAACAATCTTTTGATAAATGGTTTAGTTAGGTTTTGTTGGGGACGTTAGATCCCCAGAACTCACTTGGGAAAGGACCTAATTTTGTAATTTTACTTAGAAAATTTGAATTTTCTTTATTTTCGCACCAAAGGCGCTCTTGTCACCTTCATGTCGTATTTCACACTGGGAAGTATCTTGAATGCTATTGGTCCGTTGCATCTTTCAATATTCTATTTGGTAACTCTCTCCAAGGACGGTTTTGTACTGTATATATATACGTTTTGAATTGTGTTTGTTGTTATCGTTCGTTTCTGGCTGTTTGCAGAATATACTTCCCATTCCAAGCTTGGTCTTCTCCCTCTGGTTAGCGGGGCTGGGACGCATCAAATAGCTAGCTTACTGGTTTTTGGTCACTGAGTCTTTGTTCTTGTTCGCAGACTAAGTGAACTCGTGATAGCTTCAACCCTAGCAAATTTGGCGACTGTGGTTTCGGAAACATGGATCCTTCTAAACTTGAATTATTACTCGAGCAGCAGATGAAACCTATTCAGATGTTAGCAGATACAAAGCTCACGTCTAATACTCAACCAAGCAGTTCTAATCCTGCTACTATTGCATCATCCGTTGATGGTATTGCTAACAGTATCTCCGAGTTTCATTACGATCCGGAATCCAATGTCACGTTTGATATGTGGTTTCGACGTTACGAAGACTTATTCAAATTTGACTTTGCTAATCAGAATGATGCTTGGAAGGTTTGATTGCTGCTTCGAAAGTTGGGTCCTAGTGAACTAGACAGGTATTGCAACCTAGTTCTCTCTCTAAACTCATGCGATCGCTCATTCTCGGACACTGTCCAGTCATTGAGCCAACAATTCGGAGACAACTCCTCACTATTCAATGCGCGCTATCTATGTTTGAAGCTCACTATGAACGAAGATGATGATTTTCTCACACATGCTGGTATCGTAGTGTCAGATACGACCAAAGTTCATGTAGTCCAACAACCACGCAACTCGCATAAATCTGCCCCAGTGACATCTAATTCGAGTCAACAGACAAAAACAAATCCTCCTGCCCCATGCTGGCACTGTGGTGTATGGCATTTTGTTCGATACTATCCATATAAACAACATCGGTGCAGTAAATGTAATGCGGTGGGTCATAAAGATGGTTTTTGTCGAAAAAAGAAGCCAAGCAGCTCCAAAGGTACCAGAAAACCTACGACTGGATCCAATACGAATTCGTTCAGTCTAATAGCAAGCTGTGAGAACTCAACCCCAGCTGAGAGGAAATTTATTACCCTTAATATTAATGGGGGCCCGCTTAGATTGCAAATAGACACTGCATCTGACATAACAATTCTCTCACGAAAATACTGGATCAGAATGGGAAGACCATGCATGGCACCAGCAACACAGAAACCTCGAACCGCATGCGGTAATTATTTACGTTTGTTGTGATAACTAGATCGTAAATTTTCTTTTCACGATTCGACGTATACCGGGGTGTGTTACATCACACCAGCTGATCTTAATCTACTTGGTTTAGACTTGTTTGACCGGCTACATTCAGCTGACGTTCCGTTAAGCACTGTGTGCCATCTGGTGAAACAACCTCATGAACCTGAAGCAAAGTCAAAAGAACTAATGACGGAGTTTTCAACCGTTTTCCACCCTGTATTAGGTCAGTACACTTATATGGAAGCAATATTTCGGTTGAAAATTGGAACTAAATCTGTATTCCGTCCAAAGAGATTAGTGCCATACGCAGCATTATCGAAAGTTGACGAAGAACTTAAACCCCTTCAAATTCGGGCAGTTATTACACCTGTTTCATATTCTGCTTGGGCAGCACCCATTGTGGTTATTAAGAAGGTTAATGGCACAACCCGAATATGCGCAGATTTTTCCACAGGTTTTAACGCAGCTCTCGAACAGCATCATTACCCACTCCCAGTCCCTGCAAATTTGTTCAAGATGTTAAATGGTGGGAAGTTCTTTGCAAAGCTGGATCTCGCTGATGCCTATTTACAAGTGGAAGTGGCTGAAAATTCGAAAGAGTTACTTACCATAAATACTCATCGTGGCTTGTTTCAGTATAATCGCCTACCATTTGGTGTTAAGACAGCCCCATCTATTTTTCAGCAACTAATGGATACCATTCTATCGGGTATCCCGGGGGTCGCAACTTATCTCGATGATATCTTGATTGTTGCCACATCGTTAGAACAGCTTAGAGAACGCACGACAGCTGTACTACAACGCATCAGCGATAACGGATTCCGATTACGCCCAGAAAAATGCCAGTTTTTCTTGAAGTCAGTTAAATACTTGGGATTCATCTTTGATGCCGCAGGTCGCAGGCCAGATCCTGAAAACACCCGAGGTATAAAACAGATGCCGACTCCCACTAATATCTATGAGCCACGATCACTCCTGCGACTAATTATCTACTACTCAGCTTTTGTTCCGTCGATGCATGACATACGCGCCCCGTTAAATCATCTTCTGAATAAGAATACCAGCTGGAACTGGACAAAAGAATGTGAAGCTGCATTTTGCAAGTTGTAAACAAGCATAAGCTCTGAACTATTACTGACATACTACGATCCGCGTTCATGCCTATCATTGTCGCTGCAGACGCTTCAGCTTTTGGACTCATTTCTGTCATCTCACATCAGTTCCCGGACGCAACAGAGAAAGCTATTATGCATGCATCTCGCACATTAAGTTCAGCGGAAAGAAAGTACACTCAAACAGAAAAATAGGCTCTGGCCCTTGTGTTTGCAGTACGCCGTTTCTACAAATTCCTGCAC